ACTTCCAATATTTGATAATTTTATTAGAGGTAGGAACAATTCTTGATAGTATTTCAAATGTTTTATTTGAAAGAAGTTATGAAGGCCTCACCAATAACCAAATAACACCGTAGTTTTTCCACCCTAATATGAAATACTATCAATGGTTGAGAGGCCCTATCAATCATCTTTAAAGAAAACAAAGATCTGAGTATGTGGCAAATATAATTCATTGCATCAAAGATTTCCTCAACATATGATGACCACTCCTTGTGGAACTCATTCCTAGAAGGAGAGGTAATGTCATAGACATACACATATAAGCCAATAATTACTTTTACAAATAAGTAGAAATAGATAGAAGTAGGTAAAAGTAAGTTAATTCTATAATATCTTCTACAGAAGCTTCTTAGAAGCTTTATAGGCACTGCTTCGATTTTATAGGTGTCCATTGTTGACTTTTAGATTAAAAACTTAGTCAACAAGTTAACCATGTACCACACATATTAGTAGCTTAAAGAATATGCTAATATGTAACGTACATATAGAAAAACTTACCTTGTAAGTCAAGGCATGTGTCCTACAAAGTCAACACATATTAGAGGTCCTATAGAATATCGCCACGTAGTCCCTAGTTAGATAGTATATATAGAGACAAGAGTGAGGCCTTCTTTACTCTTGTCAACTCCTTTCTTGCTTCTGGTCTAGATTCAAGAGTTTCAAGTTTTTTTGTCTTTTGGTAATAAGCCATTCTAATTTTTTTTAATATACATATTTTCTTATTTTTATTTTGTCACTTTTTCTTTGACACGGATTTTATTGCTTTATGCATCATCTTCCAGTTCATGTCTTTGACAATTAATTACAAGAACGTCAAGTATTTTATGTCAACATGTTGATATATTATGTTGTCGTATTGTAAATGCTTATAGTATATAAAAATTAGTTAAAACATATTATATGTTAATAAATCTAGATGTGTGTTGGAATGGCTAGTAGATTAAATTAAAAAGAGTTGATATAAGAAACTTTACTTTATTTCTTTACTTGTTTTGATTTTGACATTAAAAAAAAATATATAGGACCTAAATGTTTAGTATGAAGCCTTGGGAGAAGGTAGAAGCCTAAGGATGAAAATCTAAACTAGTAAGAGGCTAATTGGGAGGGATGAAAGTAAGGCATGGTCGGATGAAGGCAAGGAATGGGAAACTTCATCCCTATTTGTCGAATACCATGCCCAATGGGCTTTGAGGAGGCGGCCCGTGACGTTAACAAAAGTTTTGGCGACTTCAAAGAGGGATTTTGGAAATTAGAAGTAAGGATTGTAAATTTTAGGATTTGGGATACAATTTATATGTAAAAATTAGAGGATTTGGAGTTAAGATAAAGAAGTTATAGCCGTTTGAAGTTAAGGTGTTAATTTAAGTCATATTGTTACTCTTTTGAGGATACGAGGAGTTGTACAGCAGCTTTTGAAGATCAAAAGGTGCAAATGGAACGGCGATTTTAAGGCCTACATCTTTCATGAAAAAATTATTGCTTTTGGAGTTCATGTGAAGGAGTTATAGGAGTTGAAGGCGGTACTTCCAAATCAAACACAGTAAATGAGCGATTTTATTTATAGTAATGGTTGGAGCCATAACTTGAGTTTTTGGATGAATTTTTGGCTCAAACTTTTTGGAGAATGTAACATTTTGTATTAAGAAGCTATAAATACAAATTTCGTGGAATTTGAGCTTATATTTTGTGAGATATAAAGAAAATTGAACGCAGGAGTATAAAGACAAGGGTTTGAAGCGATTGTTAGGATTTTCAAGATATCTCAAGATCCGCAATGAATTTGCCATTGAAATTTGTTGTAGAAGTTAATAAGAATACATCAGTACCTCATGTAAAATTTGATTTTTTTTGGACGGTCGGATTAAGAGATATGAACTGTTGAAGTTCGGAAAATTTTCCATATAAGGATATACAAGGTTTTAAAGGATTTATCATATTTTGGGTGTTGTTGGTTACTTGAGGCTTGTGTATTTGGTGTAATTGCTCAAATGGGAAAATTTATATATATAATTAGGGCTTTCTTTATTTTGAAGCTTGATTGAATGATTAGTGATAGCTAGAAGCCCAGCGTTTTCTTGAGGAAAATTCTCTCTACCCTGACAACGTGAAATTTACTTGAAAATGCATTGAATATTTTATTGTAGAAGGTAAAATGAAAATTGCAACAAGGTCCTAACAAATCTAATAGAATCATAAATAAATTTTAACTAAAATTTAATAATTTTAATCAAATTTTAATCAAATTAAGTTGAAATCTTAAAAAAATAATAATAAAATATTTAAATAATATTAAAATAGAAATTCTAAAATATAATAAAAATATAAAATTTAAATAAAATTTAAATAAATTCTAAAGAAATCCTAATAAAATTTTAATAAAATTCTAAATCTTAAACTAAATCTTGATAAAATTCTAATCAAACCTTAAATCTTAAAGCTTAAATAATTTCTTAATCAATCCTATTGTAGATTAAAACCTCAACAATTGATAATCTAATTGTAGATTTTGATTCAAAATTTATAGATATTTTAATTATTAAATTAAAAATAAGCACAAATTTTTTTAAAAAGATCAAACTTATCAAATAAAAGATAAATCCTAAAATTTGTTTAGATGTTGACTAAACTCCTTCTCCAACCTTAATGCCAATTTCTGAGTGCCAATTTCTCTTAGTTGCATTGTTCAACAACTTTGAAACTTTACATGGTTGTTGCAAATAAAATCATTAAAAAAATTTAAATAAATAAAGAATCTTTATTAATTTTATTTTAAAAATATTTTAGAATCAAACTTATACGACAAATTGTAAATGAGATGTCTAAGTTTAAACAAAAGTTTTCAACTTTATTGCAAGGTTGATTAATATTTCTTATGCTTTTACTTTAGTAGGCAAATCAAATATTTTATGTGATTTTGGAGTTTCTAATTCTTGTAATAATGGTTCATTGTCAATTTGTTTTCAAATTCAATACATTACTTAATAATATGGCAACAAGAAAGCTCAAACATACTTTGAAATATGCTTGAAGATAGTACTTCTTGAATTGATTTATCCATTAGTGAATACTTTTTTTGGTTATATTATTTTTGATATTTTATTCAATGTATAGCATAAAATACTTTACAAATGGTTGCATAAAAGAGAATTTATAACTTCATGTCAATTTTGAGTTGTTCTTCTAAAAATTTTGTAGTAATTTCTAAATATTCAATCTTATGGATCTTTAGGATTTTTCTAGATACTATCAACACATTTGTAGTAGAAATTTGTAAGTATCTTTTGAGGTGATTATAGGCTCCTTCTCTACCAAAGATCATAATGTGGCCCATGTATTTAAATTAATTTATCTAGGTTACAACAAAATTTTGTTTAAAAAAAATACAAGTTGTTTTTAAGTATTCAATAACATTTTTTGAGAAGGTAACATTCAATTTCATTGATGTCTATCTTTCAATAAAATTTTCTTCAATTGCAATAGAATGAAAAAATTTCAATATTTTAAAGAAGTCTTTATATTCCTAGTTTGTTTTAAACAACTCGTATTTTGTTATAATATTCTTATTAATATGACAAATGCACACTAATGCTTGAAAAATAGGATACTTAGTTGTTATAGCATTTATTAGAGAAAATCTCTTAATCAATAATAAAAAAATTAAAAAATCAAGTTGCAATTGTCCAAATATATTTTTTGATACTTTTTAATGCATGTTGATAATTGTCCTTTGTTTCAGCTAGCATAAAAACAACAAATGCTATAAAGCTTTTGTATTTGCTTGTTGCACCAATAGCATAGAGCATTGGCATACCAAATCAATTGGTTTTGCATATAAACAACAAAAGGAGCATTATTAAGTGTAATTGATCTAATTTAAGAGTATCCAAAAAAATCCAAAATAAATAAGAAGTATAAGCTAGATAATCTGATTCATAATAATAATTGCATCCTAACATATCCTAAAGTACCTCAATTGGTTTTTATCTTACAAGTTTCTTACAACATGATTTGGCTATAATGTTATCCGTATCCGATGCACTTGCTTTTGTTGAGTTAATAAAAAGAGGATCTTTTTTGGTGGAATTGCAATATCAACATAATCTATCTCAAAATAAATTACTCTTCTTATAAAATCCTAACCCTCAAATGACCTCTAATGTTTACAGCTATTGTATCTGTGTGATTATGAAATGAATTTGTAGTATTTATATATAAAAGGTCATTGCTCTTCAATCTTCTAATCACAAGGAATAAGTATACAATGCATCTTATAGTTGTATTCTTTCTATTTCACCACACTTTGGTTGCTTCAATCAATTTTCATATTTTCCACCACTGTTGAATTTAATCCTTACTTTTGAGCTACAACTATTAGAGCAAATCCCTTGATGAAAATTGGGTTATATCTTTAAGAAGATACCAATTGCATCCATAATATTGATTGATGCAATGCATTCTCTTGCAAGTACAAAGTACTAAGCCATGATGTGATTTGTAATTGGTGCAGATGCCATCACAAAGGCAAGGTTGTTACTACAACCAAAAATCTTTGTTTTGCCATGTTAAAAATGCCTACAAAAAAATGAACTCGCATAAAAATCAACGAGTGGCCAATGTTTCAAAATTAAAGGCTCTTCTCTTCGAAAAACATCTTTATGGATCAAACCCACCTAAGAATTAACAGCTCCTATGCATCACAATTCCCTTGCACAAGACCATGTCTACAACAAATTACACAAAATTCCTTCTCAAGATTATTACTTACAAGAATTGCAATTAAAATAAAAGATTAACAAAAGAGACACAAAAAAATAACTAATAGAATCTTTTGTTGTGGGTTGAATCTTACTTAAAAGTTGCTCCCCAAAACCTTCATCGCCAAGTTTTAATTAATCGCAGATATTTCACTAAGCAAGCATAATGACAAAATAAATAAAAACATCAAATAATCAACCGCTCTCTTTGTCTTACTATATCAGCTACTTGTCTTTATTTACTTTTCACATGTATTCAAGAGTTGTCGATGTTTGAAGTGTTCAAATTCCGTAATGTTTCAGCTGTTTACTAACATTCCAAGTACAGTGGAGAATGGAATTCTTGTAGAGTTTCCAGCCAAAGAATGTGCGCACAATTTCAACTGCAAAAGACGTTGCATCAGTGCCAAAATCTCTATTCCGATTAGCGTACACAAGGTTTTCTGCCTCAACCCACTACAATGATGGTTTTACAATCATGTGCGCAAAACAGCTCCTCCATAGATTCGCCAACCATTTAATCCATGCCGTAGGTCGTATCGTGCGGTATATGTGTCCCTATACGAATCATTGTGCTCAGGATTATTTATATCCACCAAGTGCGCTGCCTCCTGCAGAGTGGCCTCTGCAGTTGCTCGCCTCCCATCATCACTGACGGTGAGAATGTCAATAGTAAGATTAAGAAGCGCATACTCCCAGGACCAACCATTCCTCATTACATCACTTGCTCGGTCAGTCCAACTGTTAAGCATCTCGCCCTCTAGCACCTGCACGACCACACTAGGGTTATATTTGCATTCAGGTTGAATCACCAGGCTGGAGATTGTGTGCAGATTTCTGAACTATGAATATTTGACTCAACTAGTATAAGAGGTGTACCTCAGGCAAAGCAGCCATATCATGGGTAGGACCAAGTGCACGGGCTTTAGCTGCCTGCCATTTACGAACCATGCGTTCCGCCAACCTAGCATCCATTTTGGGAACCTCCACTTCTACAGCTTCCTTTTTCCTAACCCCTTTACGGTGAGCACCCCCATTACACTGTTCAGCTAACCTTCAAAATCGTCTCACCTTTCAAGAAATTGCAAAAGGAAAGGGATTACGACCTTCAGAGTTAACGTACATACTTTAAGGATAGTTTTCTTTGAAGTAGTACTAAAATTTACAAGGAGACTCCATATACCTACATACCAGTTCAAGGGGCGCTACACCGGACATTTTAAGTTTAAATAGCACTCAAGCTAGTTGCGCAAAATAGTTCTAGGAAAAATATGAACCAGTGGCATGTTAACGTGACATCAAAATTTATTTTAATGACAAATTACCCAGAATGAGGGATGTTAGGATATGAGTGAATACCTGTCGTGGAAATGACAGGAGTGCTGGGTTTGGGCACTTGAGCAGAATGCCCCACTGATGCGAAAGATTCGAGCAAACGAGCAACTCGGGAATGTAGCGGTAGGAAACGCAAACCCGCCATTACCAAAGCTCCAAACACTAGACCACTGCAGGCGATTTGAATAGGTCCAAAGCTTCTTCGAACAGAGCCGTCATCGACTGAATTCTTGGCTTTGCTAGGAATACCGTCTTCCAGCTCGTTCTCACTGCCTTCCCAATTCTCACCCTCAAAATCTACAGCGTATCCATTAAAACTTGGATCGCCATCAGTACCCCTGTGGGCAACAAACTGCTGGAAGTCTCGCGTCGGAAGCTCAACTGGATATTCAAGGAAAGCACTCGTAATGAAGCTCTCATTATTTCCGCATATTGGAAACACTTTCTTGAGAGTAGCCTTCAAAGCGGCACCAGCTCCAGCTCCAATTTTCACTATAGCAGCAGCAGCAGCCATGTGCGACCCAGTGCCCTTCTCTAATCCTTCCAGATAGCTGAGCACACTCGGATCATCAAAATAATCGTTGAGTTTGACATGGAGGGACTCCGTATCTCTGAACCTAGGGAACACCATCTCCATCAACCATCCTTCTAATAATTTACACAATCCAGGCAATGAATCTGCATCTTCACCTTCCTCTGAGAATGCGTATACATAATTCACAATGGATGGGTCCCGGAAAGGGGAGTTTTCATCTTCTAAACCCAACCATGTCCGACAATCGGCAACCTCCCCTAATAGTAAAGCGCAAATTCCTCTCTCGAAGGCGAACTCAAACTGGGAATCTGAGGGTTCACTATTAGTAAGAGATCCATTATTCTGTTGGAGCTGGCGGAACAACGCATCTGCCTTCTGAATCAAACGTGGTTCCTTGGAAGCGAAGCCCTCAGCCACATGCGCTAGTGCCGCCACGTATACTTCAGAGCTATCAGCAGGGACATTGCTAGGCGTGGTTGAGAAAAAGACCACCTGAAACGCCAGTCAGTCCGAGGTTAGAGGTTCTCTGAGAAAAAACAGTGCAGACAAAACCAAGCACAACGTTTCTGATAATGAGGTAAAAAGAGTACAACTTAGTGTGCTGTGGAAGCGTCTGAAAAAATTGATCACAAAATAGGAGCTTTGCCTCAATTTACGAAATATTTCACTTTACCCAATAATATGCTTGAAACCATCGCTCTTGCAGTCAGAGCATCATGAATGCACGAGTTTGTTCTAGACCAACTTTACATCTTTAATTATACAAAGACTTGGTTGAAGCCATCAAGATCAGACACCTGTTCTGCAGCAGTCATGAAAGAAAATGCCTCCTTCATCAACTGCTCACGAGTCGACCCGGCCAGAGGAGAGCTGCCACCATCTCCATCAACGGCCCATAATAGTGTTCGTAATCCCTGAAACCCCTGCTCTCGCTGAGGCTCGTGTTCCTTGTCAAGAGGAAGGGCAAGCAGTTCCAGAATGCAGCGAGGGGCCAACTCATCCAGTGTAGCTTCGATTTGCTCTTGCAAGTCTGGGACCAAAACTCTTCCACTCACCTCCTGCATGAACACAAGAGTCCCATATCTTAAATTACAGCAACATGGGTGCAGAGTGTGAAGTAGAGGATACACATGATAAATGCAGTAGGTTTGCGCAGATATAATGATCATCTTGAAAATTTAATCGAGTGGGATAAATCTAAGCAAAATGTTCGGTAGACCTAAAAAATTAAATACTGCGTACACCTACCCTTAACACCTTCAAAGCAGACTCTAGCAGCGAGCAACTCTTTACGACAGCTGGGGGTACTTCAGCCATTGCTTCCCGTGATAATTCCATATAAGAAAGTGCCATAGCGAACACCACATCACGGTGCAACGTTGTTGGGAGGTCCTCTTGCTGTGCCAATAGAGCCTGTCCTGCCTGCAGTACGACCTCCACTTCGCGAACCTCGTGGAGCAAACAAAGTGCTCCTCCGACCTGTGAAATGAACTCTCCATTATCACATCGCAAATAATACCACAGTAACACACATACACCAACAAAAGCTACATACCACCTCATGGCCGGAAATTCATAGCAGCTTGCATAGTTCATGTGAGCCACGTAATTTGAGAGGACGTATAAAGGCGGACACCCACCTTGGTCCATGGTACGTCAAGAATTAGAGTGTCCGCTTCATCTTCGGCAAGGCCTTGGTTATACTCTGCCCGGATTTCAGGATCCACGAGGGAGTCACGTGCTCCTCTCAAGATCTCAAGCCGTGCAAGCAGCGCTTGCTGACTGAATCCCTCTCGGGGAGGGTTGTTCACGCGTGACTCAAATGCACGCATTACAGCATCTGCCAGATACTGTGGTTCAGCTCCCAATATCTGTCACCATAACCTTGTTAAAAGATGATGCTAGAGAATGAACTTCGAAGCCAACGGAATTTTAGCTTCACATGCAACCATTATTAGCGCTCTCGTTTGTAAACTGAAAAGATCCCAGAATGAACGAAAATTTGCCGCATTAGTATTAGGGTGACATGTCAGTTTCAGTTGTTCTCCAATCACGTGTTCAGAACCAGGAGCTTCAAAGGGATAAATCGCAGATCGCTACCGATCCACAGCAGGGGATGAACACGCACGCACTCCTTGGCATACTACTACACCTGGAGAACATCAGATCGGGGCCAGGTGGGATGACAAGCCACATTGCTCCGAACAATTCCTCATAACATTTCGGAACATTGCTCTCCGACACTTGAAATTTCGAACTACCATTCCTCTTCTTGAGAAATTTGTTTTCCAACCAATCGCAGCGATTTGCACATTAGATCAATGTGGTACAACGTATATAAGACGATCACATGAAACAAAACTGCACGAACTGAGAATGACTGATAATGGCAAGGTGATGACTCTGAAGTTGAGTTGTCCGTCTCGTTCTATAAACAGCAATCAGGATGCGCCGGCATGGGCTATATCAATTGTCTATCTAAGAAAGATTCACAACGTTCCACTATCCATGCGCAACGAAGAAGTTGCAATGCTATCACAAACCATAGTGAAGAAAAGCTTCCTCGACCAAAAAAGAGTCATGATATTGAAAAAACACTACTGCACATCTCCTTACTCTGAAATGACCATGATGCTCAAAAAAGATTCCCCAATTCCCTAATCTTGCTTGCTCCGGTAATCTACTAACATCATTAAAATCAGAACATCAGAGTGTAGGTTTCAAGAACATCAAAGGATGTCCGATAATCCCGAAAAACTTAAATGCACTGACTTCGGCAGTGTAAAGAGCGAATTAAAGCCCCGGAATCATAGACCTCCTACCCACATTTCCCGAAAATGAATAATAGAACAAAGGTGGTCCAATCGCTGACCTGGTAGTAATCGATGGGCAACCGAAAGGTCTTCTCAGTTTGAGCAATGGGCGGGTAAGCCGAAGCCGCAACCCGAACACAAAAGCTCGCCCCCCGCTTCGCTATCTCGTTCTCTCGTCCCCGACTCCTCCCGCTCCCCACCACGCACACCCCACTCCTCTTGCCGCTATTGCTCCAGCACTTCCCCGGCGCCATCCGAACACCACCCAGCTGCGCAAACTCATCCCTGGAAACTCCCCCAGCGCCGAGGCGCGGCACCGCTGCCCCGCCCTGGCAGAGGAGGCGAACTCCAAGCAGGGCACCACACTCCAGTACCACCATCTTGACGAGCCACCGATTGCTTGATTGGTTGACAGTGTCACCAATCCTCCCTCATCCTCTCCCTCTCCCTCACCCCCTTCTACATCGTCCTCCACAACCTTAAACCCTCACCGCCCTGCCCCGCCCCAATCAAATCAACTCAACTCAACGCATCCCGCAACACCACCCCCATCACTCAAGGCTACACAAACACACAAACTTCGCGCCACGGCCAAGTTGAGCAACGGGGAGCGTGGGTGCCTGGGCACACACGCACACAAACACACAGTAGGGCCGTCGTCGCAGCCCATTCCGCGTGTAATTGGTCGTGGTGTTAATTTGTCGGTTTGTGAGTGTCTGGTTTTGCCGTTTTGGTGGGAGCGGCGATAGGTCGATCACACATTGGGAGAGATATGCTGGTGCATTTCGGAGATATTATTTTCATACACATATATTTCCCCCTTCCCCCTTCAAGTCCGCGGCTCAGCGCATCCATCGGTGGGGCCATCCACCTTCGCAACAACTAACTGACTTGGCTTGGGTCTGAGATCAAACTCCTCTCTCTCGCATGTCGTGTTCATTTCCTCTCAGAACGTGGTTGTATTTGTCCGAACTAGTCTGCTGTATGACTTTTTTTCGTGTGTTGATGTGCTTCTGAGTTTCATCACTAGATTCTATTGCTGGAGCAGGTGCCGTTGTGCCACTGCTCCTTTCCAGAAAGCATTTGTTTATTTATTATTGTCTTTTTCTGTTTTGCAATTCACAGTATCAAGTTGTAATCTAGCTGGGCATGGCGATGCCGGGAATTGCAGGGTTGGTGTGAGATGAAATTAAATTTGATGTGATCACCATATTTCTATTCACAAGGACGAGTAATATTGTGTGTGTTTGTTCTGTTTTCTTTGACACTTGAGGTGAACCCATTGTATTAATTTAAAGAGCTTGAGCACAACAATGATCATCCTTGCCTAGCCCTAATATTCCAAATACTGGAGGGGGTTTAGAAACATCCTATTTATTAATGTGTCCTTTACACCCATCTTTTTTGAATCACTTCAATTTCCATTCAAATAATGGGTACCTGAACCTGTATGGAAATTTTTGGTATTCCATTTAATTATTATATTGTTTATATGTTTTGAGGTAGTTTTAGTAATCCAGGATCTATTCTACTTTCTAATTGAAGCAGTGCTATGCTGATTGAAGTTTTTTCTTGCTTTTTCTTCATGGTTTCTCATTAAATTATACCATATTTCTTTAAACCAGACAATATAAGTTGGTGGGTCTTCTTATCCCTCTATACTTCTCTTCATAGACTAGTACATTTTTTAAAGTCCATACAATCCATGAATACACAATTTGAAAAAGCATTCATAGAATCTATCATTAAATGTTTTAGTTGTGGTAGTAATTGTTTAACAATTACAACTTATTTGTACAAAAAGTTATCATAGAGTCCCAGTTGCAAGTGCATGTTACAATTTTAGTTAAGATAGAAATGGTTTAATCTTATGATTTTTCAACCTGTTAGCACACTTACAGGTTATGAAATATTAATTAGGAACTTAGAGAAAAGTACCATTTTTAAAAAATATATACATGTATATTTATATATATATATATATATATATATATATTAGTTTTTTGTGAGAAAAAGAGTATATATCAATCATACAAAATGCGGATTCTACAATAGTGAGCAGTGAGTTGCAATAAACCACATTAATGAGCATATAGAAATTATTTTTCTATGAAATTATTTGCATCTATAATTTCATGCTTGAAGTTTTTAAAGCCAGTTTTGTAGCAGATTGTGAATCATTGAATAAATAAATGATAATAAAAAAGAATCAATTTTTTTAACATAAAAATAAAAATGATACTACATTAGAAACAAATTACATGTTGCATGTTAATTTGAGAAAAAGAGTATAAAATACATGTTGTATGGTACTTTGAGAAAAAGAGTATAAAATACATGTTGTATGGTACTTTGAGAAAAAGATTACATATTACATGTTGTAATTGATAACCGGATAAGGTGGAAGATAAAACATAACAAATAAATAATATTATATAGAGAACATAAAACACAAAAAATAAATAACTAATTGAAATGAAATTATTTAAAATTTTAATACATCAATGAAACTCTAAAAACGTTTCTGCAAAGATTTACATAATATGTAAATTATGTATTTTTAAATATTTTTTACATGTAATTCTTTTACATATACAAATTAATAAAAAAAAAAAAAAAAAAAAAAAAAATTGTTGAACCCCACTTTTAAAATATGACAGCCTGTCAAGCTTTACTGCTACTTCTTCTACCCTTCAACCATGATGACAAATTTTAACCGATTACAATTTAGTTTTAAAAGAAAGAAATTCATAAGATAAGAAATATTTGTATTATACTAGAAAATACATGATGTTGAATTGTTATACTTAGCATTGACTATTATTGTTGAAAACTTGATTTGAGTTTGGAATTAACTTTAATTTAAAATATATCTAAAATAATTAAACTTTAAATTAATTAAATATCACTAAATAACAATAATATTCTAAATTTTTCATTTGAATATTTTAAATAAAAAAATGTGATTTTTTTGAAAAAAATATTATAAATTATATATATATATATATGCATGATTGATTTTAGTTTGGAGAAAAAAATTATTTGATTTGATTTACTCACATGAATTCAACATACTTTTGATTGTTATACATCCTAGATTCAAGTGGTTCTTTGATAGAATCATTTCTTATCAACCAAGAGTTGAGGTAGCTTGAATTTTTACTTTGTGCACTAGCTTAACGTCACATGTTTTACCTTAATTGTTGTCACCTTAATAGTTTTTCATATCTTGGTGTTTGAAAGAAGCTAATAAAACTTTGAATACAGAGTATATGATAGTTGTTTTAATACCCACAAGAATAATCAACTTTTTTGGGTAAATATATATATAATATTATTTAATAATTAAAATTTTAAAGTACACAAAATACAAATTCTTTGATTATAGAATTAAATTTTTAGTTGACATCAAATATGTATAGCATGATTGTTTTGTAAAATGAATAACAACAAATAGTACATACAATTAAATAAATAAATATATATATAAATATATATATATATATATATATATATATAGGGAGATATAAAATTTGTGCCATTAGCCACAAAGAAGGTGTAGAGGTGCAAAAGCTAGTTGAATCCATGCCATTGTTATGAAAAGCTTGACTCCAAAGAAGCATTTTTTTAAAGACATGTTTGTGAGTTAAAAAACACTTTTCATCTTGATATATGATCATTTTCTAATTTTATCTTCATTACTTATTAATATTGAATTTCTAACATATTACATTAACATTACCTTACTATTCAAAAAGAATATCATTTTTCCACCAATTCCATGTAATTAATCCTATTTGGCTCTTTATATTTTAATAAGTATTTTAATTTCTTTATTTTTTTATATTATTTTATTTATTGAATATCTAAATCTAATTCTGTACTATTTCATGAATTAACATTAGTCTATTTCAAGGCTAACATGATTGTTTAATGTTAATTCAATTGACAATATTAAAAAATTGGTGTGATTTTAAATATGGTATTGGTACAAGTCTTTTATTTAAGATAAGAATTGTGCATCAAAGTTTTAGATTATTGCAATGAACTTCTATCAAGGACATGAATCTCAAGGAACTAAAAAATCAATACATCCTTGTGGCACTCAAAAAAACAATATCTAATCTTTGTTTTCTTTGAAGATAGTTGATAGGTCTTCTTAGCCATCAATAATGTCTTATTTTAGGATAGGAAGACCACCTTGTTATTTAATCACTGTTGAGGGATTCATAACTTCCTTCAAATAAAACAATTGTAACACCATCAAAAGTCATTCTTACCACAAATAAAATCACCAATTATTGAGAGTTTCTTCTAAGGTCGTGGTACCACATGTATTGTAATTTGCCATCTATTCAAAAAATAAATGTCATTCTTGAAGGTTTTTATTTTGATTACATCAACTTGAAGGTTGTGATAATTATAATATTTCATCTAATATCATGATGCAATTAATTTAAATACATTTGGAGGGTAATTAATTTGGAGGGTAATTAATTTTACTTTTAGAAAGAGAGGAATATAATGCTAATATATTTATAAATTTGAATGGAATTTAGAATAGGAGATTATTATCTTGGATAGATTTTTTAAGCTTTGAGGGTATAGTCTTTTAGGATACATATCCAACTCTATAGGAGTTGAAGGCAAGTATGGAGAAAGATTAAGGTAGTGATTTTTGGCATCAATAGGATTTTTTTAGGCTAGTGTGATATAGGAGGAGAGTTGTTGGAATTTTTGAGTAGCAAGATTTAAGATAAGTTTAGATTTTTCTATCCCATCTATTATATTTTCATCCTTTGTATTGAAATTTTGAAAAAGCTAGATCTCATTGCTAGTTTTTCAATAAGCTTTAGCATGCAAAAAATGAAGCTGTGGCAAGAGAGATCTATGCAAATTTGTGGAATAAGGGTCGCTGAAATTTTTAGGTGACGAGATTTAAGATTGATTTGGAGTTTTCTATACCATTTATTGTATTTTCAACTTTTTGTTTTGAAATTTTTAAAGAAGCTAGATTTTTTTGTTAGTTTTTTAACAAGTCTTAGCATACAAGATAGAAAGCTATAACAAGAGAGATCTATGTGAATTTGTAGGAAGGAGGTTGTTAGAACTTTGAAGCAACAAGATCTAAGTGTGGTTTGGATTTTTTCATTCCATCTATTTTATTTTTATCTTTTTGTATTGAGATCTTGAAAAAAAATAGGTCTTATTATTAGCTTTCCAACAAGCCTTAGTATGCAAGAAAAAAAAATTGTGAAAAAAGTGATCTATACAAATTTATAAATAAAATTTTGAAGATTATGGCTACAATAAGTAGCCAACGTTTTTCTTAGTTTGGCTCTCATTTTCTTTGAAATTTTTTTATTGATTTTGATATTTTAAAATTTATATTTTGAATTAAGATCAATGAGTTTTTTTTTTTTTTTTTTTTTTTTTTTTTTTTTGAATTGAGTTAGTAACAAGTGAATTATAGGTATTTTAGTGAGAGGAGGTTTGGATTTGAGATTTAATTTAGAAATTGGATGCAGTTCATTTGAGATAACATTATGCTTTCTTACAATCGACTTGCAATCAAGTACCTAGTTTTTTCTTGAGGAAGCTCGCCTTCTTGACATTAATAAGTCAACATATAATGGTTCTTGAATTGAATTTGTTGGCTGTTGGTTCTCTATTTCTTT